AGTAGTAGTAGTAGTAGTAGGAGGAGGAGGAGGAGGAGGAGGAGGAGGAGCATGCTGATAGAGGGGCAGAGAGAGACACACACACACACAGAGAGACACGCAGAGACAGAGAGAGAGAGAGAGAGAGAGAGAGAGAGAGAGAGAGAGAGAGAGAGAGAGAGAGAGAGAGAGAGAGAGAGAGAGAGAGAGAGAGAGAGAGAGAGAGAGAGAGAGAGAGAGAGGGAGGGAGGGAGAGAGAGAGAGAGAGAGAGAGAGAGAGAGAAGCAAGTCTGGGCAGGAAGGGGAGCGAAAGTTCTGAGAGCCGCACCTCGAACATCTGCGAGATGAGGTCCCCAGAGAGAGTGCGGATGGGGATCAGCGCAGCATAGATGAGGATGTGCTGAGAGAAGCCTTCCAGCACTGAGACCATGCAGGAAACCTGCTCGCAGCTGAGAAAGATCGAGGAGGAGAAGACGGTCGAGGAGGTGATGGTGGTAGTGAGAGTGGTGAGCGAAGAGCGAAGAGGGAGAGGAGAAGGAGAGGAAGAGGAGAGACTGGGCGTTCAGTCTTACCAGGAAAGCGGCTTGCAGTGTCCTCTCCTCACCAAACCTCTTAGAGATGGCCGCGACAAGGTACTGGAAGGAAGCAGGTCAGGGGTAAGTGGGAGGGGAGAAGGAGCACGGACGGTACCGTCTGAGAGGCTAGCGAGACAAGAGACTGGTAAGAGGAGAGGTACCCCATGTGGTGTGGCTCCAGCTCGTATTTTTCCGTTACGTACTTGGATGAGAACACGTGGCAGGCAGCCACGAAGACTGAGTTGAGGAACTTGATGAGTGTCAGGCTGCCCAGCCCCTCCTTCTCCAGCAAGTCCCTGATCCCTTGCACGGCGCCCGTCGAGTTGCTTCGCACGAGGGTCTTGCGTTTCTCCTCCTCCTTCTTCTCCTCCTCCTCCGTCTCCTCCTTCTTCTCCTTGGCCGGGTGTGCATGCGAGGAGATGTCGTTCGGGAGCACGATCTGCACCATTAGAGCATTGAGCACGAAGAGCGCAGCAGCCGCGTATGCTGGTACTGCCTTGTTGAAGGTCTTTGAGAGGAGGCCGCCCATGGTGGGCCCAACGAGGAAGGCGAGGGTGGCGCAAGCGCGCAGATGCGACAGGGACCTAGTCCTGTCCTCGTCGGTGGTGAGCGAAGTCGTGATAGCCCTGCTGATGGTCATGGTCTGCTTTACCAGCCCGACGATGAAGCGGCTCAGCACGAGGGTGGAGATGAGAGAGTTCTGGTACGAGAGCCCAGCAAGGGCGTACGACACTGCGCTCCCCAAGAAGCTGAGCAGGAGAATGTTCTTCCTGCCCGACATGTGGTCACTAACATACCCCAGCACCACCCCGCTGACTATCTGGGAGATCTGGTACACTGAGGCCACCAGACCCAGCAGCTCGGTCTTGACCCCCAGCTCACGCCAATAGAAGGGAAGCAGAGGAACGTATAGACCTACCCCGACCATGTCCAAGAACACTGCGAGTTTGAGGACAAGCAGAGTCCTTGACGTAGGGCTGTCGACGCCGAGCCAGTGCAAGATCTGCCGCCTTCCCACCATGGTTGGTGCTCTATGCTCTGCCTGGCCAGATACGTCGTCAGTTTGAACCTGCGAGATCCCGTTCCACTTAGAAAGCTTCCTTGGCTTCATCTCCTACTTGTCCGAGGCGTTTCATACTTCTCACGTCCTCTTTCTGGCTCTCACACTGAATTGAATAGCTTCTTGCTCAATGCTCCTTCTCTGCCTGCCCGCCTGCCTACTTCCCTCCCTCCCTCCCTCCCTCCCTCCCTCCCGGCTCTAGCTCATTCTTGTTAGCTGGATGCCCGGTGTTGTGCGGAAATTGACGAGTCGCAGGCTTTTCATACTACTACACACCCGGACCCTTGTTCCTCCGAGCATGGCCCCACCAACCGACACATGGGCGACCTTTGGCTCCCTGGCCTCTCCACCCACGCCTGGAATGGGCTGGTTCTGGACTTCACGATGACACATCCCTACAACAGCAGCGGCAGCCCCGTCGGACTTTCTGCGCTCTCCGGCCCCGCCCAACAGAAGATTTCCGATCATCGCGCAAGTTATGGCACCCATCACCCGCCAAAGGCCTTTCTTCCCTTCACTGCAGGTACGGATGGTCTTCTTCATGCTGACGCTTTGCGGTTTCTCTGGTACCTGGCGGATCACCATGGAGCTACGCTGACAGCGGAGTGGGATGGATGCGCTCAGGAGGCGGTGTATGGGGACCCTGGCTTTCATCGTTTGCGTGCTCGCCTGTTTCGGCAGTATCGCTCTCGTATGGGTCTTGCCGTCCTCCTCGCAGGGGCCTTGCGCTACTGCTCTTTGTCCTGATCCTTGTTCCCCTGCTTGTCGTGCAGTGCATGCGGCCGTCGCTTGCGTGGTTGGAGTGCCGGTTTTCGCTGCCTCCTTCGTTTCCTAGTATTTTATTGAGGCGGGTTTGTAGGCCTTATCCTCCCCCTCCTTTGTTTGCTCCGCTTTGCCCTTCTTTTTCAGTCAATAAAGAGTACTATGAGAGTCCTCGGAGTCAGTTGGCTGTGACTCAGCAGCCTCGTTCCTCACTTCATTCCTGATCCCAGACGGCGGTGAATATTCTTGCAACAGTTTCATTACTGTAGTCGAAGAGAAAAACATGAGAAGAAAAACAAAACTAAATACTACAGAGACAGACAGAGACAGAGACAGACAGAGACAGACAGAGAAGTAGAGGCAGAGACAGACACAGACAGAGAGTGAGAGCGACAGAGAGATTCGGCACACATCTGGAGATATACATTTTGCCGTTTATCATGACCTTCTATCGTGACATGCTTCCCAAGGGTCTGTACAAAACCAGGTTGCAACAAAAGTGTAGTCCGAAACAAGGGTTGATTCCTTGGCATCATCTCTCGAATAAATTGTTCGTGGTATATCACTGATGCCATCCCAACTCCAACCACGGCACGCGTTCGCAGTGTTGGCACATATGGAAATACGATTTTCAAGATCGCGTTGACTCGTTCTCTGCTCTCCTTATCTGTTGAGAAGAAAGATCAGGCTTTACTCTCGTAATCTCAAGCAGTTTGCTATCCAGAATATGAAACTTGAAATGACGCCTACTGATGATCGGAATCATCAGTTCCTCTACGTAAGTTGTCAATATACGTGCTGAACAGGTCAATCGAAACAGAGTGAGGTCAGCCATCGGCATGTTGTGATCAGCAACACTATGTCCGACTTCTGAGTCAAGCAGTATGACTGTCCTGCTGCAAAGACTGCCTAGATGGAATCATGAATGTCAATGGGTGCTCCCAACGATGTCTGCTATCTTCATTCGTTCAAAAATCGACATGGGGTTTCAAGGTCGTCAAGCACGTCATGAACTAGGTGTAGGCGACTTGAGGAGCTAGCTGTCCAAGATTGAAACTGAAAGCCACGTGTCTGTCATACGGTCTCCTTTAGTATCCGCAACGGGCTTTATCCAGCTCGATCAGTATTTTTGACACTAGCTCAACTTCACCGTGACTGAGGCTGCGGCATCCCTGCTCTGGTGTTTGATGTCTGCATCCATGTTATACATGATTCTCCAGCCCATGTAACCCATGCTAGGCATCAATCTGATCTTGGCGCATCGACGGTTCACAAAAAGGTTTCGTTGATAACCCGACCTCCATAAGCACCAAAATTCTGTATCTTTTCTCACCGTCTTGGACTACATGGTGGAAAGTACGCCAATCTAGATGCGCCCCATCAATTGTCCAATGCAGAACCAACCAATTAGAAACCCCTAATCGTGGTAAGATCCACTCGTACTTAAAATCTCCAAAGGCTGGCGCCATGAAGAGAAGGAGGTCCTCTCCATTCTTGGACAGCTTTTCCACAAAACCCTTGAGATCAGACGAATTGACCGACACTCTCCAGTTCTTGAACTCTGCTGCACCCTTCATTCTTCTCCTATCAGGACCGAAGACAGGGCCAGAAAAGCATCCGTCTCGTTCGCGCTTATCCATGCAACGAATGTAGTAGCCGAAAACTTCTCCGTCAAGTATGTTACTTTCATCGTCACGAAGGGGAATCAGATTACACAAACATCTCGTCAAAACTTGCCGGAACTGCTCTGCAGCCTCCTTGTCATCCACGGCAGCAAGCACCTGCGTCACTGTGCTCTTCACTTCTCGTCCACAATGATAGCTGAGAGTCGATAGAATGTCCTCTGGTTTGGCCCAGCTTGTCAACATAAGGACGACTGCCCCAAACGATTCGAGAACATTCCCGTCTCTACGCATTGCATCTACTGCTGTGGGATCCTCCCTGGGCTTGACAGTATCTTGGTGAATCCTCCTCAACACCTCGAGCCCTGATGCTAAATTGCGAAAAGGTCTTCCGCCACCAGCGCAAATCCCTGTAGTGATGGGATCGGCCCAGGCCGGAGGAAACCTGCAGGATATGTTGTGGATATCTGTATTCATCATGTAAATCTTGTCATCACGCCGATCAAGATCAATGATTGACCCCGGACTACCACGTGCAGGGACTTCGCCTTGTGGCCAGATGTTCAAGAGACCGAACCCTTGCATGATGTGTGCCTGGGAAATGGCATCGTGCGTTGCAATCTGAAACATACAATACAACGATGCATCGCTGAGATTCTTCTTTTCTTTACGTCTTTCTGCCAACACTGGACCAGCCAGATCTCGAAACAAATCTGCGCGGTCTTTTTTCTCTTCCGTGGCGCCCTTGAAGCCCTTCAACATCTGATTGCAAAGCCATGGGTTAACGTTGTCGAGAAACAAGCTGCACTGCTCCTCCCCAAACAAACTCCTGAGCAAAGCATGCTGCTTTTCAGACTGTAAAATCATCGGAGGAAGCGCTCGATGGGTGATACACACTAAATGCTCTGGGTTCCGACCTCGGCTGTTGTCGGTCTGTCGCAAAGCTTTGTTGAAATTCATCACCAGAGTGTTTGTCCCCAGCATGATAGTGTTAAAGCCTGCATCACGAAGAATACGTTTGAAGAAGACCAGTCGAGCGATTGGGTTTACAAGGTCGGTGGTATCCTGATACCCCGGTATCGCTTCATCGACGAGCAGCCACAAGTCCTTGTCCTTTGTCCACTTCTTTGCATGCTGCAACGTCACCTTGGCTACAGTTTCAGTCTTCCCAAACAGGTATCCGAGTGCACCAAGAATATTCCAACTGGATTCCAGAAGATCAATATCCAAAACATTCACCTTGCACTCATCTGGTTTATCAAATGCAAGCTTCTGATCACACGCTTGGAGGTCTAGATCGATTGCTACATTGATGAGCTGCGAGATACTGTCCACCTGAAGATATAATTCCTGTTCCTGGGTGTACCCAAACAAGCAATATCGTGAGGTCTTTGGGTTTCGTACGAAGTAGTCTGCCGCACACAACGATTTTCCGCTTCCCGAGCAGGCCTCAATCATGCATGAGACTGTACAAGCTGCTCGATCCGCACTATCGGTTACTACTTTGTCGATTGGGTTTGATTCGCTCAACGACCTAGCTTTTGATCCCAGCGATTTTTCTATGCACATCCGCAGGCCTTCAAGTATTTTCTCCAACTCAAAGGGATATTTCTCAGAGACTGCATGCATGACTGCAAGAAATAGTTCAGTGAGCTGCTTCTCACACGTTGTTGAAGATACACTTTCACACAATGCTCGCCATGGACGCACATTTGCTCAGCAAAGAGAGATTACCTAGAACATCCACCCGCAGAGGTGTAGATGCACGGATGCTTGCAAGCGATGACTCAGCGATGCGCAAGGCTAGCTTTGATTGAGTTATCGTTTCTTCGTGATTGCTTGCGAGCACTGCATTCAGCTGCGCCCTCAAGAGACCTACCTCTGCCTTCAGCTCCGCCCTTGATACATTTGCCTTCGCCATTGCTATCTCCGCTTCGTCCTTGCTTGCGAGCGCCGCCTTCAGCTGCGCCTGCGCAAGCTCTACCTCTGCTCCGGCTATCTGCTCGTGGTCCTTGCTTGCGCGAGCCACCTTGAGCTCCGCCCGCGCCAGCTCTACCTCTGCCTTGAGCTCCGCCCGCGCAAGCTCTACCTCTGCCTTCAGCTGCGCCTGCGCAAGCTCTGCCTCTGCTGCGGTTATCTGCTCGTGGTCCTTGCTTGCGCGCGCCGCCTTGAGCTCCGCCCGCGCCAGCTCTTCCTTTGCTCCGGCTATCTGCGCTCTGTCCTTGCTTGCGAGCGCCGCGTCTACATTCGCCCGCGCATGCCCTACCTCTGCCTTCAGCTGCGCCCGCGCAAGCTCTTCCTTTGCTGCGTCTATCTGCTCTTGGTCATTGCTTGCGCGAGCCTCATTCAGCTCCGCCCGCGCCCGCTCTACCTCCGCTGCAGTCGTTGAATGGGCGTCGTTGCTGAGCTCGGTACTCGCCTTGAGTCGTTTGGTTTCTCGCTGCTCTTCCACGGAATCGCTCTCCTCCCTCCTCGCCGCCTGCAGCTGCTGCGACGACGACGACGACGACATGGTTTTTTGCGCGCCAAATAGTTTTACTCAAAGGTCTCACAGGACGAGGATAAACCCTACAAACCCGCCTCAACCAGACATCCGGAAACGGAGGAGGCAGCGAAAAATGCTACACCAACAAAATACTAGGAAACCGAGGACAGCGAAAACCGCTACTCCAACAAAGTATCAGTCAGGCCAACAAAAGATCTTGTCCGAAACGGAGGAGGCGGGGGACAAGGCTGGGAACAGGTGGGAACAACACTGACGCCGGGCAGGACGCCAGGAGCCTTCACGGGATCAGAAGAGGGATGAGGGAGGGCCGAAAGGGAGGATCCTTTGCTCTCAAAGCTGCTGAGGGTGGAATGGAAGAGAAAGATATTAGCACGAACGAAGTACAGTTCGTAGACTCGTCGGAGCGATGTATTGTAGTTCTGCCCTTCGAGGAGGACGTGAAAAGCAGGAACATCGAATGCGAGGTATCTCGTGCGATTCTTTCCCTCTCCCCTCATCCTCGTGCAGATCACGAAGAACATCATCTTCCTCAAGCAGCGAGCAGACAGGCAGGAAGAGTCGGAGTGGGGAGGCCGGGGGATCGAATAGCCGTATTGATGGATTAAAGAGTATGAGGAGGAAAAGGATGGAGAGGAAGAGGAAGAGAAACAGGAGGAAGGAAAGCAGGAATATAGAAGAAGTGCCGGTAGCTGCTCAGCAGGAGAGCAAAGAGGACGTGGAGAAAGCGCTCCAGCTGCACGTGGCACTGATGAAGCCCTCCTTGCTGGAATTGCCTGCAGTTGCGGTGAGGGTGGAAGCATGTGGAAGTTTAGTTGACAGACGGTGGGGACTGTAGGAAAAAGAGGAGGAGCGGGAGGGAACAGAGAACGAGGAGCTGGATGAGCCGAAGGTGGCTTGGAAGAATGCGGTGGATGAGACGATTGAAGAGGAGTGGGAAGACGAGGCGAGGTCGTAGAGGGAGGCGCTGAGCAATGTGAGTTGATTTTTGTTGTTTGCTGCTCACCGTCTGACCTGGGGATCAGGGGGGGACTCCCGAGAACATCATGGAAATGCTGAAGTCAACACAGAGGACAACGACGGTGAGCGGAGGAGGAGGAGAGAGGGAGAGCAGCAGCGCGAGCAGCAGCAGAAAGCCGGGGGGGGGTTGCACGGTGGTGAAGAGGAGTCACAGCAGCAGCAGAGGCAGAAAGAGCAGTTGAAGCAGTTAGGGAATATTGATTATGTGATGTGGTGATGAGGACAACTGGGAGATGGAGACAGGGAATGAGGAGGACTGGGAGAAGTAGGAGGAGGAAGAGGAGGAGAAGCAGCAGCAGCAGCAGCAGCAGGAATAGAAAGAGGAAGAGGAAGAGGAAGAGGAAGAGGAAGCGGAATGGTGATGTAGGATGCAGGAAGTTGGGAGGGGAATAGGTGGTCGAGGAGGAGAGATGTGAATGTCTGAAACTTCGGCTGACAAAGCCCCGATCGCGAGCATCGTGTTCGTTCGGCACTCAGAGGTAAAGGCCTTCCGTTCGCGATCTGCCTCCTAATGGCACCAGCTTCTATAGCAGCTGCTTCTTCTGTCTCCACCAT